CTGATGCTTTAACTTATGCTGTGTAAGGCTGAAGATGTCATCAGACATGGCAGTTAAATCAAATGTTTCCAATTCTATTTTATTTATTTATTTATTTATTCTAGGGGCTGCAATCCAAGAAATATGAAAGCCCATTACAGAACACAAAAGACTGATATTTCAAAAGTGAATGGACAAGGTAAGGTGTTGTCCTCTAAAGGTCAGATTGACCATAAAGTGGTAAGATTTCAAGTTTATAAATCCATAAGTTCTTCCTCTGTTTAAATATATTTAAGATTTGATTGTTTTTCTGTCGCCATTGGGATCCCTTTTGTTATGGTGAAGCTGCTGGAAGCTGGGGGATGGAGGGGAAGTTTTAATTTCCAAAAAGTCACCATCACAGGTAAAATCATCCCAGTGGCAGCAACTTTTAGAATTAAGTTTTACCTCTCATGCTGTGTCTCCCCCCCCCCCAACAGCTTCCCCACAATGAAAGGGAGCCCAAGGGAGCCTTGGGACCTTGGAGGAGGACAAAACAGAGAGATATGAATTTCAGAAAAACTCATGCAATTGATGACACCATCAGCCTTATATGGCATAAGGTACATTACTGGGCTTCAGCTAATATGTTAATTATTACTTACTCCATGTTATTTTTAAGTTCAGTGCATTAATAACACATTATGTTTTGTTGTTAAGTGCCGTCGAGTCAGAACCAACTTATAGCAACTTGAATCGGGCTTTCAAAGTAATATTTTAGTTACATCATCATCATTATGGAAATATATATAGATAAAATAGAAGTACATTCTTCTCCAATCATTTTAGAACTTACAAGCAAATATACTCACTTCTCTAATGACATTATAAATCATGTTATTTTAATAAACAACCATAATCATAGTCTTTTTATGTACTCCCTCCCCCACATGAATCAAGTTACAGTGGTGCCTCGACTTATGAACATCCCTACTTATGACCATTTTGAGTTACAAACAGCTCTGGCCACAAAATTTTGCTTCTACCTGCGACCGGAGCTTCCACTAACGAACAGAAAAAGGCAGGGGGGAAAGGCAGGAAATTCAAATTGCTAACTGTAGGTGGTGATGAGCCTGCTTCTTTGTAGCTCCTTCGCCTCAGCAGTTAGAGAGTGTGCAGCGGCGTCGGAGGCTTTCGACTGCCTCTTTCTGCTTCTGAGAGTGTGTGTGTGTGTTTGTGGGGAGGCTTTGGGCTGCCTTGTAGAGTAAGGTGCTGTTTTCTGCTTTTTAAAAACTGTTCTGGGTGTTTTTGCAGCGTGGTTTTCAGCTGGGGGGTTATGTTTCTGTGCTGTGATGGGTCTTGGGGGGTTTGTTTTTTGGCTTTCCACCCCATTTCCGATGGGTCTTGGGGAGTTTGGTTGCTTTTGGGGAGTTCCCCATTTCCGATGAGTTCTGCATGCTTCCCTTGCTTTTTTCCTTTCTTTTCTATGCATTTCCAACCTGTCCCCTTTGTTCTCTGTGCATTTCTCATCTGCTCCATTTGTTTTCTGTGCACTTCCAATGGGTCTTGCACACTTGATTGCTCCCCCCCCCCTTCGGCCGGAAGGGATTAATTGTGTTTCCAATGAGTCTTGCAGTGATTCTTTCTTCTTGGTGGTTTTTTTCCTTCGGCCAGAATGGATTAATTACGTTTCATAGCATTCCTATAGGAAACGGTGCTTCAACCATTTCTAGTTACGTCCATCTTCTGGAACAGATTATGGTCGGAAGTGGAGGCACCATTGTATAATGAGTAGCATGGCTAGATATAAACACATGGCTTTAGAGTTCTGGTTGGAGTTGATGCTCTGTAGAAGGTCCCCAGTCCCCAGTGAGCTGTAGTGGGTAGAGTGACAGACTAAGAATTAGGGGGCCTGAGTTAGAATCCCTGCTCAGCCATGGAAGCTCACTAGGGTTGTGGAACTGGTAAAGGCACTCCTTAATTATCTCACTTACCTTGGAAGCCCTATTAGGGCCGCTGCAAGTCAGTTCTGACTTGATGGCATGTAACAACAACACTAATTGAAAGTCCCTCTCCAGTGAAAGAAAGGGTATTCTTACTACTAAAGAAGAATCAGCATTATTTGAGAAATGTCCATGTAAGCCAGTTGCAGGAAAGGCAACATGCTAGGAAACTGGAGGACACTGCAATGCTGAATTATGTCATCTACTCCCCCTGCATACCACTATAGGAATAACAAGACTGAACTACTTTGTAGGACTAAGTAATCTTTATGGCAAGCAGAGCCATGAATTCAGTCACAGACCCAAAGCACTGAAATGCAGGAGTGGCTTCATTTTTTCACAAAAATATTTCAGCAAACGGTGACTGCAAATTTCTCTGGTTCTACCAGATTTGAAACTAGTTTTTAAGAGGAGAGGGGCTGGGAATCAGATGGCATAGCTACAGTCTAGATATCACTTGGCAATATGGTAAATCTATTAAAGGAAAGTTAATATTCCCATGTCTAAAATCCTGTTGCTCAGTTATACATGTGAAAGACAAAAGGAGTAATTTGTAGCAGCTTCTCACTAGCAATTAATGAGTCCCTGTTTGGATTTTTGGGTGTGCACCAAGCCAGTGGGGAAGTACACACCCCAAAAAATCAAGTGTGGATTTATTAATTGCCAGAAAAAAAACTGCCACAAATTATACCATTTGCCTTCCTCAGACATAGCTAAGCCACAGAATTTTGGCCTATGTTTCAGACAAAACCTGATGACAAACAAGGAAAGAAACAAAGCTGGCCATAGAGCACAGAGGGAAGGCAATGGGAAAAGAAATATAGTGCAAGTTAATTAAGAAACAAAAGCAGTTTCTGAAAAGGATGTTTTAGTAAAATAGCTGAAGTTTTAAGTTCAGGAGCCACAAATTGGAGTCTAGTGTTCTAACCTTTCTCAGCCATGGCTGCAGCTACATTGACAAGCTGAATCAGAGCGATTTGCCTTTGCTGTGGCTTAATTCACAGCCTGTTTTATGCTTCTATTTGGATGAGATGATCACACAGAAACCACAGGTTGTTTTGATGCCACAGCCTTTGCTCCTGCCCTCTATTGATCGCCGGCTCTCCTTTTATGGTTCATAAAGCTGGTGGGCTGTTTAAAGTGTGGCATGGCATTATGGAAAAGGAAGAGTTTTCCAAAGTTCTCCATAATGAACACACAGCCATCTATCATGGAAACACGGGAGTCTACTCTAGTTTTTCAGAGTTATTTCTCTGACAATTTGTGATCTAGTGCCAAACTTGGTAATTTATTTCAAAAAATACTTTGGGGCAACTAGGGAGAAAGATGGCTGGCTGGTCCTGCTGTCTAAAACATCATGGCCCAGCATAGTATGTCACCAGAGTATCACCCATAATCATGCCCTCTCCTTCCCCACATAGTTTTGGAGAATAAAACAACTGATCACAAGGGGTCAGTTACAATTCAATACCATTCAAACTGCTCCAGCTTGAAAAAAGCAGAAACTTCCAGCAGCAGGGAAAATGTCCACCTCAGAAGAAAAAAGAGCTGGGCTGATTCTTATTGGCTGCTGCATTCTGTGATCAGTTTTTCTTTTTAAAAAAATTGAACACATCCTTATTTCCATAGGAACTTCCATACTGTTTACCTTTCTAGACACAGCCAGAGAGGTTTCATGTTTTAGAAACAAAATTATATCACTCTGAGATGGGATCAATGCTGATCGCTCAATATGTGATCAAAATCATTTGCAGATTTTAACACTCACCTCTTATCTTATTGCTAATTATAGCTATAGCAGTCCCATTGAATCAATTGCTGAATGGTAAGTCTACAGTTCGGTACATACCACTGAGTCAGTGGATGTATTCTAGTTGGCGCTTTTAATAGAATACTGGTTGTAGTATCACACATCACCATGGATTATTACTGCCATACCAGTCCAAAAATTTAGCCATGTGAGGGTGACAGGACAATAATGCTTTGGACCTGTGAAAGGGTGTCAAAAGGAGAGCTAAACTGCCATAGTAAATTTGGGGTGACTTTGATGCATGTGGGGTGGGTGTGGGTGGGAGAGGACCTTCGTATGCATGGCATTTGGTATGAATGTATGCTAACTACAAATCTGAACACATCTACTCTGTGTTTTAAAAACTGATACACTTGCGTGCAGCAGTAATACATTTCATTTAATCCGCAGCCTGGTTAAATGGTCCTTGCTAATAGTGAATAAAATGGCTCTTCAACATTTTGAAACAGGAAAGCCATTACTTTTTCAGTGCTATTGGATTTGAATACCCTGTATCTTCTCGTATTACTTGTGCACAAAGACTACAGATTTATTTACATACAGAGAGAGCTGTCCACAGTCTTTCTTCCTCTTCTGAGTGGTAACCCTATATAAAGGAAAGCTAAACAGCATTCCTTTCAATTTGTGGCTTTCTCACTGTGGCACAATAAACACATCACCTCTTCTTCTTCTTCTTCTTCTTTTCTTCTTCTTCTTCTTCTTCTTCTTCTTCTTCTTCTTCTTCTTCTTCTTCTTCTTCTTCTTTTTTGAGAAAAGAGCTCTGATTTCATTGGATGCCAGTCGAAAAACAAATGTGGGTTGTGCCAAGCACTGCTCTGAGCTGTGGATATAATGGGATTTGAATGGGAAGTCCCGGACACAATAAATCTGTGCCATATGTGACCATTTCCTGTGTCAGTTCCTTTCTCATAACCAGTGGACTTCCCTCCCTCCCCCTCCCTCCCCCCATCCCTTGTCTCTCCCTTTCTTTCCCTTTCATGACCCCACACCAGGACTCTGAAATCTTTCATGGCTGCTTATCTGCCTCGGGCTCTTCCACAGCAGTTGCATAAATAAATGTATTTGACAGCAAACATCATAACAGTTAGCAGGAGTGTGTACTCCCCACGAGTGCCTTGTCCTGCTTCACTAGACAAATGGAAGAGGAAAGCGCTTGTTTGTTACTGCAGAACAGAAGTATGTTCTTTGACAGGCATTGAAATAATTAGTCAAATAAACTTGTTGGGTGATTGTTGCCATGGTATATTTTGTTTTGTTTTATTAAGAAGGAGAAAGGTCCTTAGAATCCCCTTCTTTGTATTCCGTTCTCTCTTCCAACATCCATCACTTCCCAAATGAGATCAACGGCAGCAAGGGAAGCAGATCTGCAGCTGGGAACATTTCAAAATACAAATTCCCCCTGTGTGAGAAAAGCCCCACTTTATTTCAAGTCAAGTCTAGACGCCAATGAATTTGGATCCAGTTCAAACTTTGATTCATCCTTGTTGCTATTCAATCCTTCCTGTATCTCCATCATCCAACCCTGTGGTTGTGGAGTGTCAGGACACTGACTGAAGTCTAGAGGAATTGCTATGTTTTCCCTAAGTCTCCAGGTGGGGAGGCAACTCTGCAGGGGAGATAAAATAGTGCGCTGACTGTATGTGAGTTGGCTTCAAAGTTCAGCTGGCCATTTCCACTCACTTCCAGCTGGCACCAGGGCTCAGCATGAAGGTGCTTGTATAAATGTTGCTCCGAACAGCTTGAGACCTCAAGCACGCACTGTAGCCTGCCTTCTGCCAAGTCCTTCATTCTTTTCCCTGTCTTCTAGGCACACTGGCAATGGGCCCAGTGTTCCAAAACCAAAGCAAGGCAGGAAGCAGAATGCCAACATTTTGGCTCACGAGATTTCTTGCTGCAAGAGCTTCAACAGCAGTGATGCAAAGCCCAACCTTTACCAAACCCCACTTTTCTTGACATCACAAGTGACTCTGCCTTGGCGGTCTCAAGTTTTTGTCATAGAAACAACTGGGAATGAGATGCGGCTGACCTGACAACCCTACCCCACGTAAAGCAAAAATCATTACCTTTAAGAAGAGAAGGGGTTCATTAGAAATGGTACAGGGACAACTTTTCCCACATATCAAACTGAATTGGAAAAGAAAATGAGTTTGCAGCCGGATGTTCCCAGGTTTGCAGCAAATCTCCTTACTCTGGTTTGCCCTCATCCTTCTCAAAGGTAACTAAGGGTGTGATCAGAAGGTGATATAGGACTGTGCTGGGTCACCCTGGAATGAGTTGCTTTGCTGAGTGCAACCTCCTTCTGTGCATACACAATCCAGTCTTCCCTCTTCCAGTCCAGTTCCAAACAAAAACAAAACAAAACAAAACAAAAAGTAGCTGTGCTACTAGACCAAAAAGGTCTTGATTGTTCATGGAGCAGGGTCATGCTCATTCACAAATTCCTGCACATTGTGTAGTCGCTGGAAAATAGTCTTAACTGGGCCATGCCACAAGCAGTCCAAAATGCAAGCAGTATCATCATCATACACTTAGAAGCGTTCCTTACGAATCCTCAGAAAAGTCTTGTGTTTCTTCATGGATCCTCAAGGAAAGCAGAAAGGAAAGGACTCCCAACATGTATGTATGTATGTATGTATGTATGTATGTATGTATGTATGTATGTATGTATGTATGTATGTATGTATGTATGTATGTATGTATGTATGTATGTATGTATGTATGTATTTTAGATGAGTGAAGGGAAATTTCGTATACAAAATTTTTGTTGTTTAGTTGTTAAGTTGTGTCTGATTCTTCGTGACCCTACGGACCAGAGCACACCAGGCCCTCCTGTCTTCCAATGCCTCCCAGAGTCTGGTCAAATTCATGTTGGTAGCCCTAGTGACACTGTCCAACCATCTCTTCCTCTGTCATCCCCTTCTCCTCTTGCCTTCACACTTTCCCAACATCAGGATCTTTTCCAGGGAGTCGTCTCTTCTCATGAGATGGCCAAAGTATTGGAG